AATCCTAAATTAGGGACACTGGGAATTGACTGCAGAAAATCACTTTAAAATAAAACAAGCTATGCAAAAGCTGAGAGATTTCTTTCAGCTGCATGTAGTATAACCTTCACTGTATGACCTATAACTAAATCAGTACAAGTTCTAAAGTATAAGGAAATAGTCAAAAAGGCTAATTCTAGCAGAATCAGAGTTATAAAAATACTGAGCAAAATAAATTCTTCCTTTGAGAAACTCAGCATAAGATAGTTAAGCCTACATTTCCAATGAACTTTTTCTGGTAAAAACTGCTATTATAATTTATTATTGATATGCTTTATTTCTCAAAAAGTAGGTTCCAGTGTCATATCGCCCGGGTGCACATAAAAGAAAGATGAGAGAATCTACTATACAGTGACCTTTATCTTAATACAATATTACCAGAACACCGGAGAATTTAGAGTTTTCAAAAAGAGTAGAGAGAAATTCATTTTCAAAGCTTCCATCCGTAAATGAAATAAAAACCCCACAACCTTTATAAATGACATTAGTTTTCCTATCAGGTGACACATGTGGATCAATTTACATTTGAATTTGGTGATCAGAAAATATTGAAATGTGACCTATGATTTGCAACTGCACCGGGTGAGACAATACAGCTAAAACACTGGGTAGTCATTGCGATGCTGGGATGGAGACAGAATCCAAGACAACCCTTGGTGAGGAAGGGGTCAAGCGAGGAAGAAAGTAAAGGCAGAATGAAAATAGGCACTCTTATCATAAGAGAACAATGTGTGCCATTTTAACTGCCCAAAGAGTATTTTTCATCTCAACTTTCAGTGCTGCTTTAATTAAAATGAAGAGATCAACACATAAACAGAAACTAAATCATTCTAAAGAAATTCTAAGTTCTTTATCCTGTAAGTTCGATTACAATTTGACCTGGTATGCTACTCATCAAAAAATGTATTGAATGACTGTTACGTAGCTCATATGGTGTTGGGAATAGAAGGGAAAAGAAAAAAGAAAACAGTGTCCCTAGCCTCAAAGGGTTCAATGACTAATGGAAGAGACAAGTGGTTTCACATGATATTATTTCACATTATATTTCATATGATTTAATATTATTGCAGTGTGATATATTACATTATTGCTGTGGGATAGAACAGTAGAAGTGGTGAGGAGCTTAGATTCTGCAGCCAAGCTGCCTGGCTTGGAGTCCTACTTTTTCCTCTTTCCAGCTGTATGGTCTTGGACAAGATACTTACACTCTGCTGCTTCAGTTTTCTTATCTGTAAAACAGTGCTAATAAAAGTATAATTCTCACAGTGTTATTGTAAAATGTGTTATAATATACATAAAGCTCTTCACAGTATCAGACAACAGCTACTGTTCTTGTAATGATGGTGTGTACAGCAGGCCGTGGGAACATATGGAAGGAGTGATACAGTGTGGCAGATAAGAGGTAGGACAGACAGAGAGGGGTTTCCAGTTGAGGTGAGATTTAAATGGAGCCTCGAAGTGGTCCAGTAGGATTTAAACAGGGAGCAACATTGAAAAAGTGTTCCACACTGTGGAACAGCAGTGCAAACATACAGGGAAGAAAAGTCACCAAGAGTTTGAGGGATTTGGAGAGGTTGATGAGTAGAATCTAGGCTACAGTAGGGAAATTAGATTTTACCCTGAAAACTGTCCTGAATGTCTTTGTCCTTATGCACCTCATTCTCTTTTTTTCTGCAACAGACTTCCTTCCTCCACTATTGATTTCCCTTTACTTCTATTCAATTCTGTGCTTGGATATAGGACATTCGTTTTTATTTATGTATAACTAGGTCATCTATGTGCAGAACAATCTGCACTTTATATCCTGTTATTCTTCAGATGAATCTAAATATTTTGGCCCAGCATTCAAGGCCCTTCCATCCACTGTCCACTGACACATATCTGAAGTTACCTCTTACTAGGATAGCATTTTAGTCATAGCTAGCTTCCAATTATACCCATCTCCCTCCTCTTTGCACATTGTATTCATCCCAGTCTCTGAATTTGCTCCAGCAGTTCCTCCTTGGAGTTTCTGTCTCCCCAGATCAATTTCAAGTACTTCTGGAAGAACAGGCAACTCTACAAGGTGTATAGGGTGAGCATCCTGAAGACAAGTCTCTTGCTTAACCTAGCCTCATACTATGTTGATAAGCTTCTGACATCACAATCTCTTGGGAGTTACATTGGGATTTTATAATCATATACTTAACTTTTTACCTGCTTTTTCCCCTTCTCTCTCCACATCGATCATGTCTTTCTTGTGAGCAGAGATTTTGGTTTCTAGATATCCTACTTTAAAATGTAAGTATGTCTATAGTATCTTATCTACCGAACAGTCTGATAAATGCTTGTTGGATGAATATATTAAATGTAAAATCTCATAACACAACCTCTCTAATTAACATATCAACATTATTATATGAAAGTTTTATGCATCTTTAATAATTAATGACTTGTTCCTTGCTAGCTGAGTTGGAAGAGAATCAAGGTGACAGATTATGGCTAATATTTACTTAGAGTTATATGGTTCATATGGATAAGTAGAGCATTTTAAAAAGGTATTAGAATTCTTCATTTGAAAGTCTTTTAAAGTTAAACTTTCATTATAAAATGTAGGCAAAGCCATAGAGGAATTTAGAATTTAGAGTAAATCCCTGGATATTAGAGTTAAGAAGGAGGGGACAACCATTTATTTAATACCTATTTTGTACCCGTCATCACAAGGTTAGTGACTTTAGAGAAATTATATGTTATTAAGAATTTCCAACCTCTCCTTTCAAGGGAAGTGATTATTACAATGGCTATTTTATAGTCAATACCACTGTGGATCAAAAAGTTTAAGAACTCCATTCAAAAATTTATATCCAAGTGATGAATTCGGGATTCGAATCCAGGTCTATCTGACCTTAGTGACAAAGTGCTTTGAGAGATCATATAGTATTGTTAGAATAGCAGCATTTAGAATTAAGGTAAATAACTTGACAGTTTTGGATACGTAATTTATCCAAAACTGGTCTCAGTTTCTCATTCTTGTACATTTGCCCTATATAGTCTCTAAAGCTCTTTATGACTCAAATTTCTTGTTAAAAAAAGTGATATCTATTATTTAAAAAATCACATCAAAAATTTTATGACACAAAAAGCAAGGTGAAAAAGCTGTGCATATTAATGGATCATACATTAGGAAAGAAGTAGTAGGGATTAATTAGATTATAGTAGGGTTATAACTAGAAGGGGTACAGAAATTATTAACTTTTTCTTTAAATATCTCTATATTGTTTGACATGGTAACATAGCTATACCTTTGTAGTGAAATCTAATAAATAGAGGGAAAACTATAGCATTTTAATAGTTAATTAGACAATCTTTTTTCTTCATTAAATATGGATTACCAAATTATATAAATCTCAGAAACTTATATTTTTATTTGTGCTAGTTATGAAATGCTGTTCCTACAATACCTTTTTGTATTCTACTCTAGATATAAACGCATGTTAGAAAAGGGTGATATGACTATAGAACCATGTCTAGAATCAAATGTGTTGAGTACTTCTACTTACTTCCATTAAGATGAAATTAAAAATAGGTAATGTCAAAGTATATACAATATTTTAGAGATATACAACCATTAATAAATGTACTATACTCTCAACTATTATTTGGTGTCAACAATGATACTTTTACTAGACTCTCATGTTTTTACTTCTTAATTTTGTGCAATAAAATAATACACGATAGACAAAAGTTAAGAATAACACATCTAAGAAAGTCGAATGTCATAATTAAAATTTCCCTTTTGTCCTAAGGAACTCTTTTCTATGACTGGGTATTCTTGGGTAAATCAGAACTGGCTTGAACACATAACCTGGTTCATTCCTGGTTAATAATGAATCAAATACAATTAACTATGAATACACAGATTACGCTAATGATGATCAGTTGAGACCTTTTTCTACATACTGATTTCTGGCACCATTTGACTCTTGTGGTGAGAGAAGTTGGGTCAGTGTTAGTAATGGAAATGTCTTCTCTCATAAACACCCACACTGAAAACTAGCTATATCTACTTTTACCTCTAAGGTTCTGAGCACTTGTCACAGAACTTGGTTAGATGAAATGGGAACATTTTGTATAAAGTCACCAGTATGACAGACACTCCAGGCACAAACTGCCATTACACTTAAGGTGGACATTTTTCATGTATTCATACCTTCAGAGTTCAGATCACGCTTGTAGGATACCCCAATTAAAACTACCCATTGGAGAAAAGAAAGTCCAATAAGGGATAAAAATGAACTCTAAGCTACTTTGAAAATATGACACAAGCATAAAAGAAAAACTAAAAAATACCATGTAGGCTGAAAAAAATTACAGTCTTTTTTACTACTCTTTACTTGGATTGTGATAAAAATTCAGTTCTCTGTGGAATCCTGTAAGCAAAAAATCCAGCGAGCAGAGAACAGAACGGGAATCTTGCTTGACAATAAGTAGGCCCAACGCATTTTCTTGATATGAGGACCACAGCTAAGAAGTGTATCTCTGCAGCTTTTCCACACAATAAACAAATAATTCTAGACTATATTGTTAAATGACTTCAAATATAGGCTAATAAGCAACACACACACACAACTGACACAATTTAAAAATTAATTTAGGAGACACACTATACACAAAATTGTTCCCCTCAGAAAACATTTTTGTAATAGCAGAGAAGAAATGTTTAAGGGCAAAAATAAAAGGTGTTAGGTATGCCCCAGATACTTCTGGGAAACAAACAAAGGTTATTGTGAAACTTAATATGATCAGCAAATCAATTGGCCATTTGTTGACCATGGTGCTACTTATGGTAATTAGAATCAAATTGCTGTAATTTAAAGGGAAATTTAAAAGTACATTTTTCCAACTCTGAATTTAATGTAGCAATATACTAAGTACGTGGTATGAAAAGTTGATATTCAATAAGTATGGAGGGTAACGCATACCTTAAATTCCTCCAAGATTTTGTAATTTTTCCCGTGATATTCACAGAAGTTTTTTACTTCTTTGCACTCAGGACAGCATCCATTGTGTTCCACTTTAGTACACTTTGGGTGAATTTTAGGGCATTCTGGTTGGTCGCAAACAGGTCCATCTAGAGCACAGACACATGGACAGTTGGAATGCCCGGGGAAAAATCGTTCTCCCAACTTGTATACAAAGCCGCTGTCATCGACACACCCTTTCCCTCGATAGTCATCAAAGATCAAATTGTCATTACTGGAGATCTGGTCACCTTCATCAGCAGGATAGTCTTCATGACTGATAGCAGCAGAGGTGACCAATCCAGGGATGACCAACAGAAGTATGCAAGCTTCATGAATATGAAGAGCCATCCCCCTCTTCAAAGACTTCTGGATGTACTCCTAATATTAAATACACTCAGCTCCTTCCATGGGAATACAAGAGGGGTAGGCTGAAAATAAATATTTAAAAAGAATAATTTGACATATATAAAATGAAGATAGATTCATTTAAGCCCATGCTCTTAAACTGTTTGGGATCAATTTAAAGATACTAAGGCCTCAAATAGACTAAGTTGATGCAACTATCTATGCCATGTTGTGAGGTTTGGAGAGTTGATACTTTGCATTAAAATTTGTCCTTTTGGATTATTTTATATACGAACCTTCAGCTTGAATATTCCTTCTGAATTTCAAAGGTCTGGCTTTGTCTAAATTGCAAAGAAATGGTTTTACTGAGCCCCAAAAGGTGATTACAAGGAATCACTTATAAATAGCTCAAGAATATTTGAACTCACATTTTCTATTATTCTTTAAACTGGACTAGTCAGTGATGGAACATATGTTATAATTATCTGTGTCAACTCAAGAGATTAGTGCGAAAAAATCTAATTCTAAAGGAAAGAGAATAAACCAACAGTTGAATATAAATTATATTTAGGATGGAGCTGCTATAAAGGATTTCCTACTTATTTATGCCTATAATTAAAGAACAACAGTGGTATCCACATCAGTTACCTGTTTCAGTGAACATGAATCTGGATTTTTGAAATATAGTTGATAACAACAAAACTATCCCATGGTGGTTAAGAAAATTTGAAATAATAAATAATACAAGAGAATTCCATGTGCTTAAAATAATTTGTTAAAAACAAATTTATTTGTATTATTGTCCACATTATTTTACACAGGAAGTAAGCTCCTAGTGGGCAGGAAAGATCTATCTATAAATTTATTTCACAGTAACTTGAATCTAGTATATATGTAATTTGTTTAAATTAAATATTTCAATATAATATAAATACAGTTTATGAGATCTTGAAAAGATAACTCTTGAAATGTCAGAAATAATTGCATGTATGCAATCTGCACAAAGATGCCAGTGTAAAATTGTTTATGGAAGTTGCTTAAAACAGTAATTAAGTGTTAACCATTCATAGAAAATATGCCTTACTAATTTTGTGACACTGACTCTTGAAAACTCCACTTAGTATTGGTGCTTGATGTGAAGTGTTGGGAGTGGGCTCTTATTTAAATATTTAGAATAACTAACTCACACAGAGGCTTTGGGGAAACTGTGAGTTTAGGGAGTAATAAATAAGAAAAAGTATTGTCAAATAGCTCATTTGTTTATTTAAATGCTATTGGCTTAATGCCAATATCACTAAAATTGTATATAGGACATTTTCAGGTCAGCTATAAATGTTATACATTTGTTTATTTTCAGATTATATTAAGAGCAATGATAAATCATCTCTTTTCAGTCTAACCTATACAGATGATAACTTAAGATAAAGATGACATTAGGAAACTTCATAAACTATTATATTTGCATTTTAAGGTAGATATGCAAATTCTATAATAGTAAAATGGAAGGTAGTATGCCCTCTTTCCAGAGAAAGCTGATATTAGAATTCCTCTGATATCCTCTGATATTAGAATTCCCTTTGGGGTAATAAAGCTGATGATTTCTTATAAAATATGTCAAAAATAATGAGTCATGACAGAACAAGAAAATGCAAACCTATAATTCTACTTGAGAATCTGGAAGCTCCCTTTGACAAAGCATTTTTTTCTCTCAAATTACTACAGAGATAACAAACATAACAGAAGCTTCTGAAAAAGCATAAATATAATTTACCAATTAAAGCAAGCATTTATACATCACATATTTAGAAAGTTTATCTTGGAGGAAAAGAAAGCTACTGTGCTTCCTTATAATATTCCAGCAATATCTGTCAACACATGCAAGATAAGCCATATGAAATACACATATGATTCTGCTTCAAAGGGACATAGACAGAAAATGATCTCTTTGTAAGCCACAGGTAGGCATTAATGTGTTAGGTTATGGTAAATGTAAACTTAGAGGTAAAAATAGGAATGTAATATCTACTTTATACAAACATTAAAGATGTTTTTATTATATGAAATATATCTCAAAATCTGCATAGTAAAAAAACAAGATTTTATTTTCAATATAACAAAGTTCTTAGGCTATTTTTTTAAAAAGCCTTCATAATTGAGCTGCCCTAGTACAATTTAAGATACTATTTATTTAACAGAAGAAACATGGGATAAATCAAATATAATGTTTATCTGAAGATTTTTATAAAGCAAGCAAACACTGCTAAACTGAGAATCACTTCCCAGCTTAACTTTCCCCCCTCCCCATATTGCTACATATGATTTAAAATGACTGCATCTATTTCTTTGAGAAAACAAACATAACTCATGTCATAAGATACACTTACCTAATCACTCTGGAGGTTAATGGTGGTGGTAGGGGTCACAGCCCAAAATGAACTAAAAGGTCAGCTATGTTTTAAGAAAGCAGTTCCTCTTTAATTACCCAAAGAATACATTTTTAGGCATGAATTAAAGGCAATCCATTCTTTCTACCTCCCATTTCAAAACACAGTAAAGAAGCAGTCTCCCGCCCTTCCAGAAAGAAACACAGCAGAAACACATAAGAAATTTGCTTTGGACCTGTCTTCAGAATTCAAAGCAAGAAGCAATGCTGGTCCTGTAGAAATCCAGACCCCAGTAGCAGAATCATGTTGAACTTATTTTTAGCATTTTCTTAGATCCTTCTATGAAATTTCCCGGCTGATTACGCCTCCTCCACACATGAGTTCACTTACACGGTGTTTGCTACGGCAGTAGAGGTGATTTGGCTAGGCTCGGAGGATCACAAACAGCAACAGCATGCTGTAGCTTAAAGCCCACTCCGCTGGCAATACCATCACCATCGTCCACAGTATGTTGCTTGAATCCCCTGTTACACACCGGAAAATACTAACTATGGACGTGAAGGAAAGGAGCAACTTTAGCTGGGTTTCTGCATCAGTAAGAGCAGTTTGCAGATTGCTGATTTGGAGCTCATTCTGCCGGCAGCCGGGAATTCCTCAGCACCACGGACAGCGCCAACAACTGGCTTCTGAGCCCAGCTCTGTCGAAATCCCCGAGCTGCTTTAGACGAGGCTAGAGTGCTCTACAAGCAGTCGCACTTTATACAGCGGATGCGTGCATTAGGAGGGGTAAAGACATTCTACGTGCGAGATACTTATTTGCATTGAAATTACAATTAAATTTTTTTTTCTAAAAAATTGTAATTACACCTAACGCATTCTTGGATGGACTGCAGAGATGAAAGTTCCAGAAGAGGCTTGCATTTCGATTTAAGCCATCTGCAGTCCCCGATTATTATTAATAGATAAAGCATAATCATTGTCAAACAATCTGTGAAAACGTATGCTTGTCGATTCTATTTGACCCTTTGGTGGCAGAAAGACTTCCCCGGTGTTGCATGATTAAACTTCAGGTCTTCCTGCAGCTTGGATCTGATTAAAAAAAAAAAAAAAAAAAAAAAAAAAAAAAGTAGCCAGGTTTTCCTGCAGTTTGTTCTCTAACATTAAAAATCAATCTCCTGTAATTCATCTAGTCTGTCATTAGGCGTCATTGTAAAGCTGTTTCTTTCAAAATCCCTAGCAAAGATGCCGAGTCTCTAAATTCTTATCAAAATGAGACAGAAAAAAGACCCCGACACAAATGGGTGAGCATAAAGTTTTTTTTATTAGTAACAGTATGCGCACTAAAATATATGTGCAAAGCATGTTTTAAAGCAGACTGTAAATGTTACCTGCTGGCACATTTAACCAGTTATTTGCTGGTTTGGGACTACAGGAAGCATTTTCAAGCCTTAAAGGGAATGCCCTCTGCAGCGGGATGTGCTGACAGTCAAGACCACGTTCGAACTGTGCCGTCAGAGCCTCCAGAAAACAGAATCTCCCCGTCGTGAGAAAACACAACCGTGTGTACCTCGCTTTCGTGGCCCATCAATTTGTGAATCTCCCCAGATTTAAGATCTAGCAAATGGATAACACCATTGCCACTTGCCTGAGCTAAAACTCGACCTGAGGGAGACAGAGGAGAGAGAATGAATCAAAGTTTTATTTCAAGTGTTCACAGTTTATACGCAACGAAGTATTCTATTTTTTTCAATTATTCTGTGTTAGGGGTCAGTTATTAAATATGAAGTAGCTCCTGTAGGTATAAGAAATAAGTTGAGTCAAAATTAAGACACATCAATAATTAGATTACAAAATTTTCAAATTGGGACATAGAGCCTAATTGTCTACATCCTTTATATGCAGATTTCATCAAATGTCCTACTATTCTTTTATATTTGTGATTAATAAAGCATTTTGAGGAGATGAGATTGAAAGCAACTATGCAGGGCAACTTTCTTTTTCAAATTACATGTTAAAAAGTTTTAAAAGACATAACTTTCAAAATTTATGGAAAAACGTATCTATGTATGGATAATTTGTATTTTAAAATTTGTATTCTTCTTTAAACTTATTTATAATAGTTATGTTAATCATTACTTACAACTCAATATACATTCCTGCTTTAAAAATTGTGATACTCATGCACTCAACAAATTTTTTTTTTTGAGGCTGAAGTGGAAATAAATATTTCCATTTCAAAATGACTTGGGAGTTTTTACTTTAGCTTAGAATTCAACTTTTGATAAATTTTTGTTACATAAGATGGCTAAATACAGCACAGGGTATTTGCATAATTTTTGTACCATATATTTTTAGTGGCTTATTTCCTCAGAGTGAAAACAAATCAGGGATCCAATTTTAATTAATATTTTTATTAAGGAAGTCCAGTAACAAACTATCATGGGACTTGGAGGTAAGTAAAACAACAGGCTATGTTTACATAAGCTCAGTACTTAGTGTAAATAAGTATGACATTACTACTATCCATGGGATTATTTAATCATACTTAGAAGGCATATTATTGTTCCAGTAATAACATTTAAAATTTATCAAACTCTTTTAATGTGATAGATACCATATTTAGTGCTTGATATGGATAATTCTGTATGATCCTTACAATAATCTAATGATAAAGAAAATAGTATTAACTCCTCTATGTAGGTGAAGAAATAGAGGCTTGGAAAAGTGAAGTAACTTGCTCACAATGACACCCTAGGTATAGGAGGAGCTAGCATTTAATCACAGCACTTTGAGTCCAGAGCCTGGGCTTTTAGCCATTATGTTTTCCACAGCCAGCATAGCATTGTTATCAATGATGCCGCCTTGACAGATTTTAGGTAAGTGATATATTGTGAAAACAGCATTGGCCCATTTTATAATAAGAATTCTAGAATGATATCACCATAAAAGCTACAGTGAAATATTTAATCACAAATCTTACCCCCAATCATCATGAATACTTCTAAAACAGAGAAAAGTTATAAAAGTAAAGCTAACCATGATAAATACAGCCTATTTGCAAACCTTTATAACTACTGGGCTTCTTCATATAGAACAAAGCCTGACACAGCAAAGATCCTTAGGATGGATTAGAGTGTCCAAAGCAGCAGATGTGAATATTTATTATAAACCCTTTTCTACTAAGTCTTTGCTGACAGAGGCATTACATATGGATTTCACTTCCAACCTCACTCTATAGGTAATTGCTGTTTGTGACTTTCCCAAGAATCAAACAAATAACTTTTTTTTTCTTGTAGTCTTTACACAACAGCTGAAAAGGGGGGTAAATATTCTTTTTTATTTCTGAAATCAAACAAAACCAGACAGAACCAAGTCCATAAAGAAAAAGAAAAATATTTAGCTTTAAATCATTATTCAAATCTATAAAAATAATAATTGGAAATATTTATAAAGACTCTAATAATTTCTGAAAGTTTGTTTAATAAAATACAGAAAATGATAATATTGGAACCTAATATTAATTCAGTAGCACCATGCCTCAGGTGTTTCAATAATTTGTTTTTTCAAGAACAGATTTGGGTCAGCACATTTATTATGAGGTTTTTCAGGTTCTCCTGAACTCATTTTCAGAAGACTGCAAGGCTGAGCATGTATCGTAACTAATTCCTAAAATGAATATAAATTTATAATCATGTTCAACTTCCTTTAAAGTATATTGGATTATTACACGGCATATAAGGTGTGACTTAAAAATTAGTTTTGCTGGGAACGGGGATGCTAACCTCTTTCGAAGTTAGAAAATGTTCAAAATTATTTACCAGGGCATGTTAATTGCTACATTAGTACTTTAGTATCCAGTTGGTGTGAGAGAGAAGAGGTACTCTCAGAAACAAAATAAAAAATGCCACAGCCTCATTACTGGTAGCATCTCCACAAAGTGTAGCATTTATAGAGAAGTGTTTATGGAGAAGTGCATGGGTATCTTTTTCAATCTCCTGGTGATTGGCAATGAAAAACAAACCACACTGCAAATCACTTGTCATCTGAATGTCAGGGTCTTAATGATAAATTTAGGGAGAATAAAAGATTTAACTATATCAGAACTTGGTCAATGGAAAGAAAATATGGTAGAAATACAATTTTAAATAGTGTCATGAGAATTTATGTGAAACCTGAACTAATAATGTTCATGTTAAAGTAAATATATTTCTTAAAAATGTGAAATTAAATAATGTATTTTTACTTTAAATCTTTTATAAACATATTAAAAGCAAAATATTGTCTTGTAACATGTAATTTCTGAACAGATTATTACAATGTTATTTAGCATAGTTTTTTAACAAGAATAATTGTAACAATTTATGAATACACACATTACATAAAAATCACATGAAATAAATTTGTGATTAAAAACAGTATAGGTTAAAAATAAAAATGGTCAAAATGGATTTATAAAGATATTTTAAAATAAAGATAAATGTTTAAACATCTGTTATGTAAAAAATGCTTTGCTTTTTTTCTTTTGTTAACGTTCAAATTATAAGGATGTCCACACTTTTCACAGAATGGAAAGAAAGTAAACAGTCTAGGGAGAAGATTGATTTAATTTTGTAACTGCTATTATTTATATAAATAACTCAGTATATATCAACATTGAGTGATTATGACTCCTTCATATGTCTTAAAAAATGTAATCTCATGTAAAAAAAATGTAATCAATACTTATTTTTGTCTACCAAGACTTTAGAATATTTTCACGTTTAGTAAATGAATACCTTTTCTGTTGACCAATAGGACTCAATGAGGAACATATGGTGCTGTCTATTTTACTTTAAAGGATGAATTTTCCAACTCCTTTTGGCTTTGAAGACAAGAATTAAGTTTCTCCTAACCTCAAAGTATTGCTCTGCTATTAAATGATCCAATCAAATTTTATAAATTGGAGGGTCTCTCAAAGTTAGTTCCAAATAAATTTTTAACTTTCTTAACACAACATAGTTCCTTTATATGCCATATTTATTTTAAGAAATAGTTTCACTAATATCTTAGGCATAACAGTTTCAATTGAATTTGGTATAAAAACTTGAGTATTTGAATATACTTATTAATTTAAGCATTACTAACAATAGAATCCCTTGAAGAAGTTTATAGAATGAATTAATCCATACAAATTGAGTGGTAAAATTTTATCTGGGTGTAAAAATCACTTTATATAAACTAGCATAATTTGGAAACTCTTACTCTCATGCTAATAAAATGTGTAGTATTGACCCTTTTTCTAGTTACAATTTATAAAACTTTTCAGTTTTCATTAATTTGTATTAAATTTCTAATTAATTTTAGAAATACATGTGAGAAGTCAATTTGATTTTGACAGTGTACACCTAGAATAACCAGGAGTTATCTTAAACCTTTCAATACTTACTTTCCTTCTCATGTAGCCAAATTCTCCTTAAGGTTGAGATACATGCTGCTTCTTATTGCAATTTTTTAATAATCACGGAACTTGACCTATCAGTACTTAATATGTGCTTGTTGTATGAAGAGTCAGTGTGTTACAAGTAGGAGCACAAACATCTTTATGACATTTTTAAATAGAAAAGTTTGAGCCCATTTCTTTGTCATCCAGGGTTACTGGAATTAGTTGATGGTAGCCCTCATTTATTGAATGTCTAGAACTTTCTCTTTTACATCACATGTTTTTCACTCAACTCTGTGATGTAGCTATTCTTTCCTCCTAGAAAATGAAGGAGACTCACAGAAGGTTGAATTGGGATTTATTTATTTTATTTTATTTATTTTTTTGAGATGGCATTTCACCCTTGTTGCCTAGGCTTGAGTGCAGTGGTGCAATCTCGGCTCACTGCAACCTCTGCCTCCTGGGTTTAAGTGATTCTCCTGCCTCAGCCTCCTGAGTAGCTGGGACTATAGATGCCTGCCACCATGGCCAGCTAATTTTTTTGTATTTTTAGTAGAGACAGGGTTTCACCATGTTGGCCATGCTGGTCTCGAACTCCTGACCTCAGGTAATCCACCCACCTCAGCCTCCCAAAGTGTTGGGATTCCAGGCATGAGCTACCACGCCCGACCTTGAATTGGGATTTGAATTGAAAACTTTATTACTCAAAAAGTCTTGCTTCATTTACTGGCTTTAGAAATTCTTACATAAATTAAGATTTAGGGCCAACTGGGTTATGCCAGTAATCCCAATGCTTTGAGAGGCCAAGGCTGGAGGATCATTTGAGGCCAAAAGTTTGAGACCAGCTTGGGCAACACAGTGAGACTCCAACTCCACAAAAAATTTGAAAGAAAATTATTCAGGCACGGTGGCATGCATCTCTAGTCCTAGTTACTGTGGAGGCTGAAGCAGTAGGATTGCTGGAGCTCAGAAGTTCAAGACTGCAGTGGGCTATTCCCACGATTACACTCCATTCTGGGTGGTACAGCAAGTCCCTGTCTCTAAAATAATAATAAAAAATAAGCAAAAAAGACTCAGATAAGTGTCACACTTTGGGGCTTCTTTATGAATATCACTGAATTCTCTAGTTGCATAAGCTCTTAACTTTAATGCTCATGTTAATCTTATAATTGTTTTATGTAATGTTGTTTGTACTCCTTTGTGAAACTCTGAAATGAAAACATTCATGTTCTTGCAAAAGTCA